CACACGACATTGCATAAAACACCGGAGACATCCAAAAAAATCGGCGTTATTCCCGGAATTTTCGGGACGACCTTCGTTAGCATTACCCTCTCCCTTACATAGTATAGGATTTCTTCAAGATACCCGTGATGATGCTAAGGGCTGTGTCATATTTTATTTACTATTGCCGTAACAAATTCCTTACACCTTGCACTTTCGTTAACTTTGATTCTTCGCAATATTCAAGCATAGTTGTCACAACTAGACTTTTCACCGAAATGGTAACAACTATTGAAATCCTAGTAATAGAAAGGGTTTTTTTGAGGTGCGAGAAAAGACTGGATATCTTTTTTCTTGAGGGCAAGAGGGTCGCCATTTCGGCACAATTAGGTACGTGAAAGGGTTAGAGGTTGATCCACCAAGAGGAGCCTCCCTGTGTGAAAGTTTACAGAGTACCCCTAGGTTCTGACCCATTTGGACAGCAAACTGAATGACTACTGTATTGTCTTTCTTCCTCTTCCTCTTCCTCTTCCCCTTCCCTTGCCAAACCAGCTTTGCCTCTCAGTTAACTGCAGAGCATTAGATATTGGCTGTGAATTGAAACTGGATTCACCAGGCTCAGAGTTATTGCCGCCAGCCGCTGGCGCAGATGCTCGAGAAAGTGATGCACCAGCTGAACTTTTGACGAGCGCCCCAGTAACAGAACATCTCCCACTGATCATGTCAGTGGTATTTATGGTCAGTTTCAAATCTATCATGTTGGAAAATCTTACTCGTGGTGGCTGAGTGTTGTTTAGGTTGCCCTTCATCAGTTTCACGGAGACGTCAGTTACTTCAAGCCCAAAATGAGCACAAAAATCGCAAGCCTCTTGCACGTTATTGAAATTCAATATTTCCACCAATAACATCATTGGAAGGCAAGCATTACGACTGAAATACGCTGTGTTGACAGAAGCAAGAGCGCTGCCTCTCATTTGGTTGAAGTGTTTATGAACGGCACAGCATGCTAAATATGGCAGCTTCTTGACCAACCGAAAAAACCGAACAAAGTTTTTAAGCATGAAAGTGAAAGAGATGTCCAAAGCTAACCGAAATAGGAAGCTGTTCTTGATTTCTTCAGGCAGAGTTACTGCACGATTTAAAGCCTCAAAAGAACCCAGATTATGTAAAAGGTAATACACTTCAAACTCGGCCCTTGTTTCTTTGTATTCAGAAGGCCATTCTGTTTCATAAAAGCACAGAAGTCTCTTCAAACATTCCGTTGTATGATCATTGTTGATTTTTGGATCAAATACATCCACTGGACTCTCGCACAGCCTGTAGCCGGATAAAATGTGAAACCTGCAAGCTTTCTCGAAGATTTCCACGACGGGCTTTCCAGTGATTCTTTGTACTACCAAGTCTTGTCTCACAGCTCTTATTCTATCAAACACAAACCAGTAAATCATTTGCCATGGATAGACTGAATTTTTGGACGTAATTTCTTCAATCAAGTAATTCATCGTCCTTAAAAGCACATTAGCTGGTCGGAGGTCCGAGGGATCAATGGATTTTCCAGCTGCAGATCGTGAAAACTCTTTAACCACTGCCTGCGAATCTGCTTTCAGTTTGTCTTGTTGGGAAGAGCTGTTTGACGTTGGACAAGTGAAGGCAAGTGTCTCAAAGAAGTGCAGTCTCCGCTGCTTCTCGCGAGACGCAATTTCCCGTTGAGGACACATGTGCATGCATGTTCCCTGAATGAAACTTTTGCTTGATTCTGTCATTTTAGCAGACTGAAACACAGTAAACTGAATCGACAACATTCGTGCTAACGGTCCACCATTTTGAATGTATTTTTATGGGAGAAGTCCGCTGCTAAAAATATTAGCGCCTGTCCGCTTAGCAACCACTCGAAAACAAATATGGCGGGCGATATTCCATGAAACCAAATGTCGCAGTGATCAACTTTGTCGTGAATTTTCTGGAGGAGAATGGCAACAATATTAAAGAACACCACATCTAAAGGAGCAGGAAATTACATTGGCGAGACCAAACAGCAACTGAGAGATGGTAAGATTGTTTTAATTAAAAAATGTTTGGCGCTGGAGGAGAGATAAACTTACATGTAAGCTGTACGTTTGTACAAAGTGAAGCTGCAACATATATCAATTCCATATATGTCTTTTGATTCTTGTGGTGTCAAGGATTTGGAGTATACAATTATGCCAATAAATTCTTCAGATATGAAGGAGAGTGGAGCAAAGGAAAGAAACATGGTGAGTTAATTATAACTGGACTAACAGGCTGGTTAAACTTAATTCACCAGTACATTATTGTATTTCCCATTACCGCATTTTTAATATTTTAGTAATTATGAATGATAGTTACTATACTGACCAATTTCCTTGGTGTCTGAGGGTGAGGAGAAGTGGAGGAAAGTGTCTAATTCTTGCACTTGATACATCATTTACATATTTATCTCTTCCCATCCAGTGATAGTAGTAACATTCCTGAACTAACTAATGCAACAGATCCTTGAATAAAGTGCTTAGGTTTCTCTAGCTGCTACTCTCTCAAATGGCTTTTTAATACTATTTTACATCCTATGGTGCCATCATTCTCTGTAACACTTTGCAAAGTTGGTTTCTGAGTTTGATAATGGCCAGCCTACAGGTTGGGTAGTGCCCTGTACAGCCATTATTAAGGTCATCATGCAATGGTCTTTCTCCTCCTGGCATTGTGTGACCACTCAAGTAACAGCTGTAATGGAGACTTAAGTTAGCTGGATCAATAGAGATACAGACAGTATGAAAATTTATGTATCATCTCTCAGATTTGAACAATAATCTCTTAAAGGTCATGGGAAACTTGTTATGGCAGATGGCAGTTTTTATGAAGGACAGTTTATTGATGGAGAAATCCAAGGTCATGGATTTCGCCGCTGGACTGCAACAAGGAATGAATACACAGGTCAGTTTGTAAAAGGGGAGCTGACTGGCCATGGAATCATGATTTATGGTGATGGATCACGATATGAAGGGGAATGGCTGGAAAATAAGAGAGAAGGTAAGTTTGTTGTGAAAGGGTGTGTTGTATGTGATTGTACCTCTTTTAAAGATCTTCTTGAGCTTTTAGATAGTAGAACTCCTAAAAAGTAACAGAACTATATAAATTTGCAAACCCAGGGTAATACTAAAAGACAAAATGTCATGCACTTCTGAAGACTTGATTCCACAAAGAGGGAATTCTATATGAAAAGGCTGGGGATGCTCGTTGGAAAAATTGAATTAAACCCCTAAAGGAGACCAGTCTGGGTGTGGTTCAAGCTTTATTTGACCCCTAAAAGATACCACTTAAGGCGGAATTAGCCTGTGTACAGCCGCCCCTCCCCTCAAAAAAAAAATTGGGAGGGGAGGGGCAGCTGTACACAGGCTAAATGGAGTAGGCTTGATTACCAGCTGCTGTTCTGGAAAGGAGCCCGGGTTAGTAGACCGGACTTGAGAGACTGGTGGAAATCGAGCCTAAAAATGGAAATAAGAGTGTTTTTTATAATTTTTTATTTCTTTGAGTGCACCCTAAAAAATACTTTGACACTTAAAAATAGTCATAGCATTTTGTCATGAACACCCTGAGTGAGACCAGAATCCTTGATTTATACTGCTAAGTGAGATGATGAGCATCCCCGACCTTTTCATCCCCAGGGACTTGACGTAGAACCACTGAGAACTGGATTAGTGTTTGTTGTATTCATCATCACTGAACAATGAAGATAATTAGACAGTCAAGTAGCATTTGCCTGTAGGTGTCTTTTGTATGTTGTTGATGATTATTTTTTTGTGCAACAGGAGAAGGAAAACTAATCAGTATAGATGGATCAGTCTATGAGGGATCTTTTCACAATCACAGAAGACATGGAGAAGGAAAATTCATGTTGAGGTATATNAACGTCAGTCACCAACAACAGTTCTTTTCAGAACTACACTCACCCGGACGATCACACTATATGAACTACTGATACTCCTGGGTTCAAACCATTTACTGTTTAACTTTTATGTATTATCTGTAACTGATATCAGTGATAAATATAAGGTACTGACCCAGAAGGTCAGGATGTCTCTCTTAAACAAGAAAATGCGCAATATTAAACTCCTTTCCCCCTCCCCTCCTCACGTTGAGTACATCTTTATTAATCTACGACTGGATACTCTCCAAAATGGTCTTTAATCCTAACAGCACTGGTGATGTTTATGAAGGAGACTGGGTCAATGATCTGCGGCAAGGACATGGAATTATGAAATTTATTGATGGAACTATTTATGGGGTCAGTTGACTTACAGTATATATCGTAATATTTTTAAGATGTGATAGAGAAAATCTTTAAATTAAGCTGAGCTGACGACTGGTTGTTTTTATAAACTTTCATTTCTGTTGATGTTTTCTTCATAGCAGCAAACACAAAACTCCCCTTTCACATTTGAAAGTAGTTCTCAACTTAAATTTAACAATGTGCTCTAAGTTATTACCAACAGAAAATATCCATACTCCCCCCACACAAGGTATTTGAATTTCCTGGGTGTGGGTTCTCTAAGACCAAAACATTTAAAGAAATATGTGAACTCAAGCTTAATTGGAATTTCCAGAGGGGTGGGGGAGGGGGAAGCTATGCAATAATAATAAAAATTGAAAGCTCTGCTCATTAGGACTATTGTACCTCATGAAAGTGATGCTCAATAGCTTTCATTTAAATGGTCACATGCTAGCTAAGGGTTTTATTCATGACTTTAAGGTGAAACCATCCTGTGCAGCATTGTAAACAGTACCACACAAAATTATATTCCTCGATAGCTTTCACTCGCATGGTCATATAGTAGGGTTTCATCCACAGATTTGAAAGTTAGAACCACCTTGTACAGCATGATAAACTGTACCACATGAAAGTACTGCTCAATAGCATTCATTTGAATGGTCACACACTAGGGTTTCATCCACAGACTTAGGAGTTAGAACCACCTCGTACAGCATAATATACAGTACCACATGAAAGTACTGCTCAATAGCTTTCATTTGCATGGTCATATAGTAGGTCCTTATCCACAGGCTTTAAAGTTGGAACCACTAAAATTTTTGAAAATTGTGAAGTGGAATGTGATAGATCGATAACAGAGACTTATTTCATGTTCTGTGATATACAGGGCCAGTGGTGGGGAGATGTTTTTAATGGTGAAGGATCCATGATTCACACATCTGGTGTTTCATATGAAGGAATGTGGGTGAATGGCAGGCCGGAAGGTATTGAAAAATTTACAACTCTTGTGTAGTAACAGCAACCAGGGAGGTGAAGTGATGCAAGTGCCCTTGCTGTTTGTTTTGGGCAATGTATGAAAACCTGCAAAAGGATTTGTGTCAGTGATCATTCTCCTTATGTTGTGGGTGATTTTGCAGAGCCAAGCAGGATCCCTGCTTTGCTTTCCTTGGTTTGTGATACTTAAGAGGCCATGGTTTTCAGCAATTTTGCCAGGGCTTCTGCCAATAAAAGCCTGAAGTAAATGGAAAATGTTCTGGGAAAATGACTTTGTTACCATAATAGATTAGCGTACCTGGATTTAGAGTTAATAAAATTGTATTTTGTGGTCTAGTGCAAAGTAAGGGGTTTGAGAGTTTTTAGGGATTGCCTCCACACTCCAGAAAAAAAGACCAGAATTCCTGGCTAGATGTGACAGCAAAACGATTATGTAGACGAAAGAGACCTTGGGAGCATGGTAGTAATTTTATGTCACAGGGCTATTTCTATTTCAGTGGAGACTGTTTTGATCCGCATTGTTGGCGATGACCACATGGAATTCACGCAAGGGAGACCATTTGGGTTTGAAGTTGAGTGTGTGACAGCAGACGGGGAACCAACCAAAGGTCAGGTCATTTTTTTTTCTGTAGGCAAAAACTCAATCGGTTTCAGCACAACTAAGTCATTCAAGGTTACTCAACTTGAAAAGGATTGATTGACAAGTATGCCATCATTGTCCTAATCCATGGTGGCTCTTCTGGCCATACAGCTCCTTAAATGTTGACCAAGTTTTTGATATATTTTGTGAAGGTCGTGTTTTTTTTTAAAATGATATTTTCATTTCTAGAGGAAGGGCGACTGCTGCAGGTGACAGCTGGAGTGAAGGTTGGTTCAAGTAGAAAATCTGCCGATGGGACAGAAAATGACCTGGACACAATCATGACACCATTGTAAGTTGTGCAGTGAAAAAAAATCACTGATGTTGCACCTGTAGATAAATCTACTGCAGCAGTATTTTCCAATGAAATGCCTAGAAAAGAAAATTCAAAATTTTTGTAGCAGTAAACTTTTGAAAAATTTAGCTGAAAGAACAACTTACAATAATTGAAAACAACACCATTTTGCAGGTAGATAAACTTAGACAGTTGTGTCGAATTGGGCTCTCGGCTCTCAGCGAAGAGTTCAGTGTGGACTGTACAGTGTTGAGACTTCAATACAACTGCCACAAAGATTACTAGTTTCTACACAGCTCCTATCTAGGATCATCTTTAGTCAAGAGCAACATAGACTGAACTTTGCCTGATGCATGGTTGTTTAATCCGGTGAAGTCCGGCTTAATTTGTAAGCTGAAAACGATAATGATAAATTTACATTGATATAGTACTTATACCCTGAGATTATGTTATGTATAGTGAACAAGAGTTGGATACTGTTGATTTGTCTTTATATTCTCCTCTATAATTTAATAAGTGGTTTTGAAATTGAGCCATACCCGCTAACGGAGATGCTTGGGGAGATATCAAGTGAAATAGCAATACAAGGAGCATTTTCACAGGCACCAAGTGCTATGTCTAACAGACCTGTTCAAGCATCTTCACCAACTGGGGAGGAGCTAGCTAAACATATGGACAGCATTCAGGTAAAACGCTGATACCATGCTGAAAACCCTTTGTGGCTTGTTCCATGACTCGGCCATGCAGTGTCGTGAAACTTCAATCAAGGTTTTTACCCCACGTAAGGTCCATCTCACTTAGCTCAGTCTCTGCAATTTTCTGTCATGTTGTTCTTGGCCATTCCAGCTTTCTCTTTACATCTGGTTGTTAGGAAGGTGGATAATGCTATCGACTGGATAAATCGCTATCCAGTTGATTCAGTTTGTTTTCATTGTTAACAATTATCCATGGTGGATAGCGCAGTCCAGTCTTCTAACATTGGGGCCCGGTGTCCATTCTTAAGAATGAACTAATGGACTGGACTCCAGACCATGTGAACCAGGTTTGAGTCCTGGGCAGGGTCATTATGTTGTGTCCTTGGGCAAGACATTTTATTCTCACACTGCCTCTCTCTACCCTGGTGTATAAATAGGTACTGACAAATTGAATGCTGTGGGGTAACCCTGTCATGGACTAGCATCTCATCCAGGGGGAGTAGAAAATACTTCTAGTTGGTCAATGCTATGGAAACTGGTTTAAGCTCTGGTTGGTACGGACCACTTGGCACAACACAGACTTTACCTTACCCCTTTATTCTTACATGTAGCATGTGGCCTATCCTTCCTTATTCACACGACTACACTCTGACAGCTTGTCTTCTCGCAGGGATTACCTCATTATAGGGAATTAACGCTCGTGTTAATTAACGTATTTGAAATTAACGCGACTTAAATTAACGCGAATTGAAAGTAAATTTGCTTCCCAATAAAGGAAATTAACGCGAATGAGGGGGCAAAATTTCAAAATGAGGGAAATTAACGTGTCTGCTACACCAAGAAAAAACCAGAATTTGTTGAGAACAGGAACCAATCTATTTTTACACTGTAAAGCTGACAGCGAACACGAACAAAATTCAGTTGAAGTACAGTAAACGATTTACTAATGTGAAAGATTGATGTGAAATGTAAAGTGCGCGGATAAAATTTATTGTTTGGCTGTGTCAAGAATGTCTGGAGTGTGTCACAAATTTGGGCGAAAATAATGATAATTAACGTCGCGGAAATTAACGCGCAACTTAATTAACAGCGCGGAAATTAAATTAACGCGAATTTTTGAAATTCGCGTTAATTTCATGAAGCGTTAATTTCCTATAATAAGGTAATTTTCTTTGTGTTGTTATTAGATTACTGACACATCAGACTTTGGAGACAAAGAAAGTTCAGTGCCTGAGGCGGGCCATGCTGAGATGCCAAGCAGGACCACTGCTCCGTCACAGGCCAGCACTATGATGCCGTCAAGTTATGACAAGAGTACAACTCTTGGCGGAGAAGGTAAATGTAATACACAGGCAAACCTCTCCTTACTTGCACCTGTGCTGAACTTAGCAAATTATACCCACAATCGAGTGATCAGCAAAACTCTAAATCTAACCCGCCCCCATAAATTTGTAGGGTCCTGCAAGTTAATATGTATTTTGTGTAGTTGTTCTAAACTCTTTTTCGGTTTAGTTCCTTGGATATTTCAAAGCTTTGTAATAGAGGTGGGACAAACGGACAGGGACAGACCATTGCTTTTTTGAGGGAAGCGGGGGGGAAGTTGGGCAATTTTCTGGGGCATGTTCACCTTCAGGTTGCACATGATTTTTTTTGGTGGGCAAAAGCTTGTCCAAGAATTATCTTAACATCAATAAAAACAGGACCTGGATAGTAGGAAGCACTTGCTCTATTTTTTTCCCTAGGGCTCCCCTTGCACCATTTGGTTTTGAGCAGTTTTTGCTGTGAAGGACTTTTTTTTTTCAGAAATTGCTCCCCTCTTCCTAAAACAAAAATGGTCCTTTGTATCCATAGTCTAGTTTTGCCAAGGGCTAAGTTTGCAATATTTGTTTGCAAACTTTCGATAAATCTCTCAGATTTCAAACACATGCGGGATAAAAACTGAGTTCTACTGGGAAAACTATTAATATTCCCATCTATGTTTTGTCTGCGTAGCCGCTGACGTACTGATGGTTCCTCCAGTGTTAACTCTGCCGCCGCCTGTCTCCCCTGTGCGGACAGCTGGTGGGAAAGCGCTGTTTGAAAATCTCTACATACCACCCCTCCCCCCTGGGGTTAAACCACTGAACAGTTTTGGATCGGTGCATTCATCTATGCATAACATCACTGCCACTGAAGATTCAAGGGCAACAAATGGAAGGTATGTGGCATGCTGTGTGAGAGCAAACAACTCAGTGACTCTCTGCTACCTTGATAGCATACGTACTGCAATCTGATTGGCTAAAGAGGTGTCTACTGTTTAACAATGAGATTAGCACATTAGCGCGTGAAATTTCTATCACGCATAGACATTGAGAGCGAATAATCTAATTGTTTTAGTAAGCATCTACAAGTCGTTCAAAACTCTATTTAAATCCTCTTCACAGATACTTCAAAAACGCAAAGAAACGGCGGTCATTTTGTTGACCACCGGACAATGCTAGGCTACTCACTATCTACAACGGAACAGATAGTGAGTAGCGTAGCCGATAAGAGAACGGCATTCGTGATAGAACGCTAGTAGATTTATACTAAAAATCGATAGAACTCTTTCGTGGGGCATGTATGGTTTTTCAAGCATTATAGTCAATTGGGCATGTGGGGCGCGAATTTCGTTTGCTCGGATATAATATTTTGTTTAAAGCCTCGCAGGATGCGAAGTGCAACTTAAAAAACTTTGTTGGGCTCATGTTTTGATAGTATTCTAACGCATTGATAAAGAAAGAAAGTTAGCGATTTGCATTTCCCTCCCGCTTCCCGCCCTTGCCTCTTCCCTCTCTCCCGTACCCCTTTGTTTCCCTATTATGTCGGAATTACCCTCCCCCCCGTCCACACAAAAGTCGTCTCCCTCTTCGGAGCTCCTAGTCTGATTGTTAGAGTACTCACAACTCAACAGCACCTGTCAAGACAGCATATACTCTCCATTTTTATTAGAACCTTTTTTGTAAAAACGTTGAGGCTATGATTTTCTTGAAATAGATCTTTTCGCTTCTATTGCTTTTAAAATTTTCCAAGTTTTTCCAGAGACTCCAGTTAAGCATTTGTGTTTCCATAATTTCAGGATGAAAAGCAAGGCCAACCTAGGGCTGAACCCCAACTTGTTGAAAGTAGTCAACCGAAACGTGCCCTCGTCTGCAGTCTCAGATGGAAGGAAGAAGAAGGACGCTTTGGCTGACGTGGTGGAGAAGGCAGACGGAAAACGGAAGAAGGAAAAGAAAGAAGAAAAAGATGATAAATTCTGTAAACCGGGTGAGGAAAACTATAGGGCCTACAACATAATTGACAGTGTTACAGTAAAAAACACCAGAGGGCCAGATATTCTGTCGCTTCATTGGTCAAAATTGAGCTCGTGATCAGCGGCATAGCACTGCATGGCAACTGTCAAAAAAAAAATAACTGTCACGTGATATTCCCCAATGAGGATCTCGCAGAGAAACACATGTCAGTCATCTGTTGTTCACGTGCTCTGAACAAGAGGTCACGTGCGAAGTCAACATATCCGTTCTCCAAACCATGTACTGTTACGATTATAAACAAGCCAATAGGGAGAATTTAAATATTGATATCCTGTTGTTGTCTTTTCACAGGTGACTATGTTATTATAGTTGAAGATGTGACATCGCCACCATTTCTTGACATCACCCTAGCTCCTGCATTTCTTCATGTGAAAGTTAACCAAAAGAAAAGAGCTCGAAGCAAAATGGAGTCACGAAGAAACTGAAAAAAAAAAAATTGGAATCAATATTTCCTGGCTTGGAGTGGATTTTTCACAGCAGTTCTTTCTGAAATTGTAGTCAGGTTTTGACAGTTTAATACTTAAAGCCAGGGTATTTGTTTTAGCTCTAATTTTTGAGCCAAGGCTTGCCTGAGAGTGAACATGCTTGCACCTCTTAGTTTCAAGTTTGGACAGAAGCGGACACTGCACTTACTTATTGTGCATCTGAACTCGAAGCAAAAACGTAACGGCTGGAAAGCGCGGGAAAAATCACATTGGCTAGAATGATGTCGCACGCGTTTTTTGAGCCCATGAAAATACAGTCAACACATTTTTCAGCAGAAAAGGTTTAATTACACGTTTCAAAGTTGTCTTACATCTTCACAGCATGCAAAACTTGTAAACATGTATTTCACATTACGATTATTTCGTCTGTACATATATTTGTAAAAAAGAAAAACTTATCTCTTACTAGAGACATTAAAAACATCAGAAATAAATAAAATATACCCGAGTATTTTGAGTGACCGTAAAATTGTTGAAAATGAAACTTAAGAAGGAATCCACCAGAAGTTCGAGTAACAAGTGGACAAAAACTTTGTACCAAGATTATTTACATCATATTGAAAACTTCTGTGCGACTTTTTTTGAACATCTTCTCAAAAGAAATCATTTCTAACAACACCAAATGTCAAAAACAAAGTTTGAAGTTTATGTGAAACACTTGAAAGTACTGGTCTCAAAAATTAACGTAAATGAAACTGATAATGAAATTTTACCTGTGATTGAACAATTTCTCTGAACTTTAAAATTCATTTTCTCGTGTTCCCTTGGGGAAATTGTTTTTAGTGTTATTTCGGACAATTACTTATATCTTTAGCTTATAGAAAATGCAAAAAGGATCCTAGTATACTTAACACTGTATTGATACAAGATTTTTGTCCACTGACAACTGAAATTGCTCGATTTCCTATCGGATTTCGTCTTAACTTCATTTGATCCAACAGAAAACACACTTCAAACACGATATCAATTATTGGGTGAAAAATGATGTTGAAAGGTTTCTACGTATTTTGTTGTTAAATTAATGTATTAATCGTACAGTATCTATAAGAAAATTCTCGATCGTGATTGGTTCTCCGAGCGTCGGTTCCCAATTTTTACTTTTTGTAATCGCATACCAGCGATTGGATACCTACCCTATTCGCACGTCAATTACGTGCGTTTTAATGGCTTCCGTCCTAGTGTTCCCTACAGTTTTTGAAACTTTCGCAAAACACTACTGACTTTTTCGCTCAAAAAAAGTGCAATCTCGAAATTTGTGAATGCGATTTATCTATTTGGTAACATCGTGTCGTACAATTCAGGGAGTAATCGTGCTCGTATTTCAAATCGGCTACGCGCTCATCTGATATTAAATTTACTCGCGCGATTATTCCCTGAATTGTACGACACTCAGTCCAATTACTACTATTACTAATAACTTAAATTAATTTTGTGTCTCTGAGGCCAAGTAGTACGGGCTACATTTTCTTACACCTTTTCGCACAACAAAATTGCATTTTAAGTTGTGGCCCGTATTACCTACCACCAAAATGTCTGAACAGGGTTTCTGGGGAACCATGTTTAATTCGAGGTAACACTAAACATGTTTGACCTAGTGTGAACGCGGTATGAGATTCTCCTGGAAAATGTCTTTTCTGATGACGGAGCTCCGCAGAGATCCGTGTAAGATCCCTGATTGGTTGTTTTGTGCACGTGAAAATTCAAATCCCAGCAACAACCAATGATGGACGCACATCAGTCTGGCATTTTTCGCGCCAAATCTGAAACGTTTCCCGAGCGGCGGGTAAATTGAGCGCGCAAAGCAAAAATCTTCATTTACTCACTCGGCTTACTCGCACGAAGTTTCTTAACAGTAAAACTGAACACTTAAATTAGTCAGTAAATCTTGGCCATTCCGAAACTTTTTTTCTTTCCACCAACCCATCACAAAACTTCTCCAACCAGTTGACCAGCTCCTTCTGTATTGATAAACTCAGCACCTTTTGCCTCTTTCTCTCGTACTCTCTCTGTCCATCGACTTCTTCGTTGGTGTCTGCCTCGCTGTCACTGTCGTCGAAGCCCATCAGGTCCCCTCCTTGACTCTTGAAGAACGTAGTCTTGGTGAGGTCGGTCGGTTTAAAGATCGATAAGTACTTTTTGTGGCCGTTTATTGCCAGCACAATCCCAGGCGTCACTTCGCCAAACCGATCCACCTCCATAACGTCTGTGCACCAGGCCAAGTTATCAGAGATGGAGAGCCAAGTAAACTTGAAATTTGGGTTACTAAATTAAAATCAAAACAAGTTGTTAGTCAAATCAATTCAACACCAGAACACCCTGAGCATTCTGTAAGGATAAACAATTGTAAAGCAACTTTCGAAACAAGGGGTTTTTAATAATGAGCTAACGAAGGAGGCTTATTTTCAGTCACAAATTTATCATACGCTGTTTTTGCTTGTTTTCGCGGGACTTAATTTTCGCGATTTTCGCGATTGTAAAAATGTAGCTTAAGTTTTAATCTTTAATCAGCTTTATTAGGAATGTATATGTACAAATTTACAGCCACGAAAATTAAAACTCCGTTGTCAAACCCTTTCATTAAGCTCGTTATTGCCAGTTTACATGGTTATCCGTCCCAAACGCTACCCGCGTATTTTACCCCATTGTCGCAGACAAACAGGTCAGTCTGTTTTAGTTATGTTTTCAGTCTTACGTTTCATTTTTAAATATCATTTTGTAAAACAGGAACAACCCATTCGTTAGTATATGAATCACTACTTGGAAAATTTCCGAAGAAATTTGGTTTCATTCATCTCGATTTTTCTGCCAAATAGTGAAATGTAATTCGCGCGAAATTAATTGCTTCTTTCATTTTTATGAAACGACAGGGGAACACACAAGGTAATGTTGATTTAACAGCCTTCTTCTTTAATTGGACTACGTAGCATCCCTGTTAAAAAAAAAAGAGTTAGCTGAGTGTGTTTGCAACTGAAGGGAAGCCTGGAGGTCAACTACTAGCCTCTTCCAGGCGCTCAGTTAGTTGGGACGCAGCGCGGAAAACAGCGCGCGAAAAAAATAAAAAAAAGCGCGGCGAGAGGAAGCGAAAGAACTTCCTTTCTTTCGCTTTCTTTCTTCCTTTCGTTTCCTCTTGCCGCGCTTTTTTATTTTTTTCGCGCGCTGTTTTCCGCGCAGCGCCCCTACTAGCTGAACGCCTGGAAGAGGCTAATCAACTACTTACCCACTATATGGATTGACTACGTCGGAATAAGCTTGTATCAATGGTGATTTCACTGCTTCTTGTGCACTGAGCGCATCTACCAACAAAGTGAACGTTATGTGACCTGAAGGAGCGTTTCTGATCAGGGCTTGCTCTGTACTTGGGTCCAAACGAAGGAGGCCCAAAGCTGACATACTCTGTGCTGCCCTGTGGTCGTCTTTGGATGACGATTTGTGTACCCTTTGAATAGAGTCACTGAAGAAAATGCAACAAGTTAGAAAAAACGAAGACGTCAGTTAAGTGGAGTCGACCAGTGACTTAATTAACGTTTACTCGTAAACTAAAGTTTTCTGTTTTTCAAAGAAAAATGTAGCTGCACCCACAATACTCCGAACCTTCCGGCATTTTAGAAAACTGTTTAGGCTCGAGGTAATTTTGCAGTGACCAAACACAACCACGTGTGGTAAATATCCTGTTATGCCTGAGCGGTGTTTCCTTTTTCACTTTTTGCAGCGCTAACGCACGCACAAGCGCAAGCTTGTGCTTATACCTGCGTCAAGGTCGTTTTCACGGTGAAATAAGAATTATGTGTTTGCACTTGCGCTTGCGTCGTTAGTGAAAACCATGCTTTAGCAGGTCTATGTTGTGGTTAAAGAGCTCTCTGTTGACACGTTATGTGGTTGTTGACACGGTATGTGAATGAAATCCCAAAGGAAATTTGTTTAAAAAAATATGGCATATGAAAACTAGTCAGAGTTTCTTCTTTGTGACGCTGTTGATGTTTTTCAACGTTTCCGAAGAAGAACTTTGAGTCAATCTGGCTCTGTCACTTTTAGGGGGTAATATGAGGGACGACTGAAAGTGTTCTTTGCCCCGTTGGTTCACAATACACGTGATATTTATTCAATGTAAAGCTACCCAGAAAAGAAATTTTTTACATGTTTTGTTTCGTTTTGTTCGTGCCAAAGTAATACCAAAGAAAGTGAAGTGAAATGGAATCTGTTTTAGACTCTTCCAGGCGTTCAGTTAGTTGGGACACATCGCGATAAACGGCGTGCGAAAAAATAAAGGGTGAACCCCCTCTCTTCATTTTTCGCTCGCCGTCTATCGCGCTGTGCCCCAACTAAATGAACTCCTGGAAGAGGCAAGGGCTAGGTCCGTATTGAGTCAATCATTACTTACTTTGCACCAGGACGTAAAACGCTAAAAAACAGAATAACTCCAAGTCCGCACAACAGCGAAAGCAAAGATAGGGTTTCTCTCCTGACAAAAGGAAAGAAACGACACAATTGGTTGTTATATGGTAATGTTTCATCTAGTTTTAGACTTGCTTACAAGTCGAGCTGCGAGAGCAGAGCTCAGAGCGAGAGAAACGTCAATACAAAGGTTGGGGACTTTGAAAGTCTGTATCACCGTGGAAACAAGATGCATATGATATTGTTCGCTGAGTTCGGTAAGATAAAATGAATACGATTCCGTGACGTTTGAATATTTTAAGCAAATCACGACGACGACGGCAACGAGAACGTCACCAAGCAAAAAGTTTAATGAACAGAACAATAGCTGTGCACGTGCGTTGTAAATCTTTGTACATTTCTTTGCCTTCCTCTGCAAAACAACAACATGAAATGACCAAGTTCTGCGTAGTCTGAGGAACACGAACGACGACCGTTAATTTTTTGTTTTTCCANGCGCAGTTTTCCTTCGCCCGACAGCAAGTCATCCAACATCAAGGTCAGTTTGGCCTTGGACAGTGACTCCTGCTCTTTGGACACACACAACCCCCCTGAGAGCCAGTCATATCTGATTTGCTTCCGACCTTTGTTCCAAAGAAATATGACCTGAAAATTACAAAATAATCCAGTATGTATGCGTTAAAATAACAGTACAATTATATTACAAAAAGCCTGGATAGATCCATGCATGAGGATGGTATCAGAAGAAAGGAGAAGGGAAGGAAAGGGAGAAGAGAGTGTAGGAGGGGAAGTGAGGAGAGGCAAGGCAGGGTGAGGTGAGCCAAGGATGGGAGAGGTGAGGCAAGGCGAGGCCAGGAAAGGAGGGGAGAGGCAAAGCAAGGCTGGGCAGGGCAGGGAAGGAGGGGAGAGGCGAGGTAAGGGAAGGCAAAGCAAGGATGGGAGAGGTGAGGCAAGGCAAGGCCAGGCAAGGAGGGAAGAGGTGAGGCAAGGCGAGGAGGGGAGAGGAGAGAAGAGGAGAGGGTAAAATCATCAAAACATGGTACATTGTTTAAGAAATAAAAAGCACGTTCAATGTTTCTATCAAGTTATACAGAGATGAGTGGAAGTGTGGGAGAATGAGAAATGCTGTGGGAACACAAGTCGATAGGGGAGTGTTTCCACAGCTTTTTCAAGTTCTCCTAAACTTTCATGGAGATTTTTATAACTCAATAGAAACACATAGAACATGTTTTCTATTTCTTTTATAAAATATGGTGACAAAAAAGAAAACAACTTGTTTACTGTGATCATCAAAATGTAATTTATCTTTGCTTGTGCCATCATAATTTTACATCAACAGCATGTGCTAGTTCTGTGTCTCTATCAAGTTTTAGTATAAATCTACTAGCTTTCTATCATGAATGCCATTCCCTGATTGGCTACGCTACTAACTATCTATTCTGTGATACTGTAGAGAGTGAGTAGCATAGCAGTGTGCTGTTGTTAACAAAATGGTGGATGCTCCTTGGCGTTTTCAAAGTGTCTGTGAAGAGGATTTAGGTAAAGTTTTGAACGACTAATAGATTTATACTAAAACAATAATTAGATTATTCACTCTTGATATCTTTGCGTGATAGTTGACGCGATAGCAATCAAGAGCAAATAATCTAATTGTTTAATAGAAACATGATTTTTAACCAATCAGCATGCACATTTTCTTTGGGCTATTTTCGAGTCAAGAGTATTTGTTCAAAAATCAAGTTCACCATTTACCTTTGATGCAGTTGAATTATCTGCACATTTGTCATCCTTCCTTCCATCTTTGAACTCTTCAATTAGCTCTCTTTGCACATCAACATATACATACAAAAATTTCACTCGCTTCTCGGAGAGGTACTTGTTATCTTTTGCTAATAACTTCAGAACAAGCTTCTCTTTCTCATGTTGGTCTTNCGACTAATAGATTTATACTAAAACAATAATTAGATTATTCACTCTTGATATCTTTGCGTGATAGTTGACGCGATAGCAATCAAGAGCAAATAATCTAATTGTTTAATAGAAACATGATTTTTAACCAATCAGCATGCACATTTTCTTTGGGCTATTTTCGAGTCAAGAGTATTTGTTCAAAAATCAAGTTCACCATTTACCTTTGATGCAGTTGAATTATCTGCACATTTGTCATCCTTCCTTCCATCTTTGAACTCTTCAATTAGCTCTCTTTGCACATCAACATATACATACAAAAATTTCACTCGCTTCTCGGAGAGGTACTTGTTATCTTTTGCTAATAACTTCAGAACAAGCTTCTCTTTCTCATGTTGGTCTTGCTTAGTAAAAAGAATGACACAAAGTCTGAAAAAAAAAATGCATTCAACAACCATGTCAAGTAAAATAGGACCCTTTGCTTGGCAGATATCTTTGAAGACACAACTGCTAAAAAGGACCCCCTCTCCTAAGTTGGCATATCCCATAACTGGACACATCCCCACCAACTTTCAACAAACATTTCTCCTAAACAGATGCATTTCCTAACCCTCTCCTTATGTGGACACAGCTAATACAAAGTTACTTCCTAATTGGACTCTAGCCACAATAATCTTGACAACTCCTTCTGGTGGACACCTCCCTGTAATAATGCACTTGCCATAATTGGACACTTCCCCTAAAGAGACATCTTTCCAGTGTAAACTCCCTTATCTGGGCCTTTCCTAAGTAAACACCTCCCTTGTCACTAAGCAGACATCTTCCCTCTGCTACACTCAAGAGGAAACCTCCTCCAAATGAACACCTCTCCTAATTGGACACCTCTAATGAGTAAACAACTCTCATAATTGACATCTCTCCATAAACTATGTACACATCCCCTAAACGGGCACCAAGTCCAACACAAAAGCTAATACCTCTTCTAAGCAGACCACAACCACGTTCTAAATCTTTTAAGACCTCCAGTGAAAGGATACCTCCAATTTATTATATTATATTAAAAGTGCTACATGGATATATTTCATAAAAACAGGTTCACTAACCTTCGTAACGATCTAAACCTCTCCTCAGGACAAAGCTCATCAAACAAGGCTCTTGAAGAGAGTCTTGGAAAGTGCAGATATTTGTGAGATTCAACTACTTCCCTCAGCTTTCCACTTGTTAGTTCTGAAGCCTGCAGTAAAACAATGTTATATTTAATTAAAAACAAAGTGTAGTTCTCATCTGTTTTTGGGATTGCAGCTTTCAAAACATGTTAGAGGCTTGATTTAGATTAATTCCTTGGTCCAAAAATTCTGAAATTTTTTCAATTGATAATTTCAAAAAAATCATCAAGTATACCAATGCTTATTAATTTTTAATTTCATTGAAATTTTTAATTACAACCAAGCAATGATGTCAAGTTATGAATCAATAATTCCCTGTTTTCCAATTAATTTTTTTCTTACTATGAAGCTGTCATTTTTAGATCATAAAAGTCAATGAAATAAGTAGTTTTGTTATGACCATGGTCACAATGGCCCCACAACTACACTGTACAAGTTGTTGGCCAGAAATCATTGTCCAGTCAGTAAAACATCGTGACATCTTAGAATCAATATTTCATGTTACCCTGACAACAACATCTGCCACTGCCACGTCATCCTTAAAGATTAACACAGTTGGTTCTTTCGAGTCCACTCGGAATCGTTTTCTCAGAGACTGCCCAGAGCCATCTGTCAATGAAACAAAGCCAAAAGACTGATGTTTGTAACTGCTGAAAGCCACCAGATGATACAGGAGTGACGGCAGAGGCTTGGGTGAAAACAGCATGACACTTGGTTTGTTGTTAACACTTGTTGTTAGGAAGGTATCAACATTGTTTGTTGTAATCTGAAAACAGAAGACAAAGAAAATCTAGGTTTCATATACATGTAAGTTCACATATAAGCAATAATTCAACAAGTTATCTTTAACATTTTATATTGGGTTCTATCAATTTCATTTACAACAATATATTAGTGACTGTGAAAAGTTGGAACTAGCAGTCTACCACAGGGTCTGCAATCAAACCTAGTGGCCCAGTGGGCAAATGCTTTTCTCTGGGTTTTTATAGTGGGTAGTGACAAGGAGAATACAAAGTACATGTACCTACCACCCCTCCTCGGAGGGAAGCTAGTCCATCCCAGGGTTATCCCCAGAGTATTTAATTTTTATTTGTTGGTACCTATACCTGAGCAGAGAAATGCCCTATGAGAGTAAAAGTGAATGCTTTGCTCACAAACAAAGACCTCGGCCAGGACTCGAAACCATTGATCCAGAATGTAACGCGTGATCTAGGCATGAGGTCACTCTAGCACTCCCTCCTCTCATGTTACTGGTTACCTTTTTGAAAAAGAGATAGTTTATTATTACCTTCTCAATTAAACCTCTTGGAAACAACCCCATCACAAAATCCTTCAGACCTTGAACAGTAACCCTATCATTGTAGAACATAACCCGTCCATTAATGATGCCAACGATAGTGGGAACCCTTCTAGCACCCAAAGCATTGACAAGGCGTGGACTTCTGTTGATGTTGATGATGCCAATCCCTACGCCAACCTTCTTCATGCTGCTGGATGCTTGCTCCCATGACTCTTCAATCTGCGCACCTTTAAAACAAAAGTAGGTTGCACAATGAACCTGTATAAACTAAGATAAAATGTTCGAAGTTTCTTTTTTGTTATCACAACAATGCTAACTGTCAATCTCATTCCCCTAGTCTGCTTTTCTTTAGGTCAGCATCAAAAATGCGCACTTGAACCAATACTGATTTTTTGATTATGCAAGTACAGAGTGCTCATTTTTCTTTGTCAGTGAATCAGCATTACACTGAAATGACTGCAAGCCCTCAAATCAGGGACTTCTGCATCAGTACTAGCCAGAGTCCAGTTCTTGGTGCTGACCAAAAGAAAAGCGGGCTCTGGGGATGAGGTAAACTAACTGGTAGGCAAAAAAATTGGTGCTTTTTACTGACTCCGATATAAATATTTTATTAGTATTAAACTTACAGGCAAAACACCAATCAGAGATGATTTCTATCAAGTATGGCTTCTCATAACTCTCTGGCAAGACTGATTTGTAATATGCTCTCTGGCTGATCTGGCCTGGCTTGGACCAAGTGTTTTGAAAAGGCATTCCATTGAAGAAGAAGCTAAATCCACTGTGAGGGTCATAAAATGGTTTCTCATTATGTCCACCATTGCTTGGCTTTCCTGTGGTACCATACATATCAAAATTCTTTTTCTTTTCATCATCTGACAAAATCTGCAAATTTTCAAGTCACACGGATCAAATAAATAAAAGTGGTTTAATTTGCTCCTCCATCAATTAAGAAATTAAAAACATGTACCATGTTTCTATCGAGTCAGAGAAACATGAGTGGAAGTTTGGGAGAATGAGAAATGCAGTAGAAACATAAGCCACGAGGCGAGTGTTTCCACAACTTTTTCAAGTCCTCCCAAAACTTTTATGAGCATTTCTATAACTCAATAGAGAAACAGAGAACATGTTTTCCATTTCTTTTAGAAAACACCGGGATGAAAAGTAAAGAAAAACAACTTGTTTACTTTGATCATCAAAATGAAAATTCTCTTTGCTTGCGCCATCATTATGTCAACAGCTCGTGCTAGTTCTGTGTTTCTATCGAGTTATAGAAACAGAGTTTTTAACCTATCAGCATTGGTTTTTTCTTAGGGCTGTTTTCTAAATGCTTTTATTATGCACGACCCAATTAAATAAAGGTTGTCTGTCCATCTTTCTGTCTGTCTAACCTCCTTACATCATTCATTTATTAACTGAAGCACTAGAAATTAATTAGCTCTTGGTTGGCAACAGGTGCCAAACTGAGAGTGGCTACTGAAGCAAAGTCAGGCCAGTTCCAATAAAAACAGACGCTCAATTTGGATTCGGTCTAGCTCACAACTCCCTAAGCAGCATTAATACCAGTAACTGTGATGATCTTTCGTGTAGTATATCCTTCTCTACAGCTCAACAATAAGACATTTCATATAAATTATTCCCTTGCTAGAGAGATTTTTGTAAAGAAGTACAAATGTAAGCTTCCTTATGACATACCTCGTGAGCTTCATTGATTTTAATGAATTTTTCTTGGGCTTCAGGGTCACTGTTCTTGTCTGGATGCCTAAAGATTATAGAAGACGACGACATCAGAGGATCGTGCAAGGAAGCATAAAACAACAAACATGTGACGTTTTGTTCAATATTTCTTGTACTTCAAGGCCGGAAGAGTACGTACACTTCACAACACCGATTGCAAAATCAGATTTTTCTCCCTTTGAAGCAATCGATATGCATTACAAGGTCTTCGATATCAAGATGAAGATCGCTAAAAGATAAAGCTACAGTAATTCACTAACCAGTTTCGTGCCATTTTCTTGTAAGCTCTTTTTATGTCAGCATGGCTTGCAGACCGAGATACACCCAGTATCTTGTACGGGTCTTCATCGGCTCCCAAACAATCCAAGCGCAACGGAAAATAGAGCAAAACCAAAACAAATGTAACCAAATTTCTCATGAGCAGAATGCATGCCATCATCAGTCGCTAAAAAGGCAAAAATCGGATGAATTGACACGACGTTTCACTGCATTCTTTTTTGCGTTCCCTTTGGCCAAATGGGTGAAGCCGCTGACAAGGTAAATATATAGAGCCTGCAATGCTGTACACCAGCGGTTTTGATAGCAAGCTTATGCTCAGTGAGATCCATGGACGGAAAAACTAACCACGTGATCAAAATTGTAAATTTCGAGGTTCGCCATTTTTCTCTCACCTTTTCTGAACAGGGGATTTTGCAAAGCTCCAGCTGAGTCAAGAGACAAGTTTACAAGGTACTGTTTTCATTTTACGGAAACTTGGTTATTGCTCTTTACCCCTATTTCCCTGGCCTTGTCAAAGTTTGAGGCTGCCTGCCGCGAAGACGGAACAATTGCAACCTACCACTGCCTCCGACAGTGAATTTTTAATCGGTCCAAACGTATTAAAATAAAATGGGAGATCTTTGTGGGCATAATTCTTTATGCGTTGAGGTTCTTGGCTGCGGCTTCTCAAAATGGGTTATACCGTAAACTCCTCTAGCGGGCAGCTAAATCTCAGCTACCATCAGTGATAACTTTTGGTTGTTTTGCTGCTGCTCACAGGAATCAGGATGTCGGAAACACTAACGTTTGGACCGGAGTGGTAAGTGCGAGATCGTCAATGATATGTAAATTGGATTGAGCGTCAATTATTTTGACATTTATCTTATTTTGACGGGCTCTTTGTCGCAAGTGCGTCAGTTATTAAATTTACTTGATACTCGTCTCCCGTAATCGATAATTTCGCACTTATACACGATATCAGCTGATTTCTACATGTTTCGCGTTCACGTTTTATTTTGATTTTGACGTCCTCCCATCTCTTGACCCTTCGCTATATTTGGCTCTTAAAATATGATACGTTATGTTATAAATTTATTTAGGGCTCACTAGTTGCGGTGCAAGTGGTCACTCCAAAATTTCTAAAACTGTGTAGTATTTTTTAGTTAAACCAGTGCAGGGTTCTCATTAAGTGCTGACCACTGGCAAAAAAGTTGGCTACTTTGATTCTTGAGCTGCCTCCTCTTCGTGAAATAATACGTGTGTAAGCTGTAATGAGTACTTTGAGGATAACCCAGGTTTTTTGGAATGTGACTAAACCTTGACTGTCCTTGTCCCAGGACGTTAAGACTGTAGCTCAAGATGGGGCATGGGGTCTGTCGTCAGGGTGTGGTGTATGTATTCTAGCACTGTAGGATTAAAATTGAAAAATGTCCTTATAATTCCGTAATATTGTTGGTGTTTTGACCTTTTCGAAATTGATTTTTTTTAGGAAATATCTCCAAGAGAATACATAAAGTAGCATTTCAGAGTATCTGAATAAAACATTTAATTCAAAATTTTCTGGGGGAGCATACTCCCCGATTTCTTTCGAGGTTTGTCCTATCGGCGTTTGAATTGATGTCAGCCGTCTACTTCATGAAACTGGCCCTTTACTCCCTAAATTAATGAGAACCCTGCAGTGTTCACATCACAGAAATGGGTTTTTGGGAAAGCCAACAGATCACTCATAGTCGTCTAATTATTGTTCCATATGTAAAGGCTTCGCGCATTGTCAAGTGGAAACAGTGTTACATCCCCTCCCCCCTCCCCTGGGCCTAAGTACAAACTTGCTGAACACCGGTATGGAAAGGAGGAGATGCTGGCATTGTTCAGTGAAGATGTCGAGATGCCAAAAGAACTGGAGATGTTTGACTCCATCTGCAGAAACAGACCAGTGCTTCCTTTAGCTTTTCAACCTCTTACAGAAGAAGAGCAGGTACACCAATACTTTATTCTTCTTTAGGTGATAAACAAGTGTACCCTAAGACTGTTTTGTTTTTGTGAAACTTGTCACTGAGATCCCCAGGGGTATTTTCCAGGGAAAACCAAGAAGATATGTTAGAGAAATGCCATCATCATCGGTCCTTTCGCACCACGAGAAACATAAGTTCAAGTGCTTATTGATTTAAAGTTCTAGCAATAGAAAGCAGTCAATAAAATGTTATTATAATCTTGTAAACGGCAACTCTGATAGAGAGTCAATTGAAGAGAAACTTTCTCTCGAGTTTGTATACCATTCAGCTCCCCTACCCTCTTGGTTGGTGTGAGGTATGTACAGTGTAGGGCATTTAATATAGAATTGTTGGAAAAGTATTAAAAGAAAGAGTAAAGGCATTGACAGTTTGCTAAACATATGATGATCATCGTAATTACATGTACATTGTACTCATGTATCATTAATTGCTGAAACATTCAACACAAGTTTGTACAAGGTCTTGTCAAGGGATGTCGTTAATAGGCACAGGGTGGAAAAATGGCTGTCTGAGGACTTGACTTCTCTTTGTTACTGTATTTATTCACTTGTAAGGCACACCCTAAACTTTCGAGGACGATTGTGACAAGTAAACAAAATGAAAATTTCACCTAAATACCCTGTTATAAGGCACACCCAGAATTACAGGAAATTTTGTTGACCACGCTCGCTGTACTTACAACAATTTACTTCCAAAAGTTACTAATTATGGTGCTTTCATTCTCAAAACAAAAGTGAAACTTTGAAGAAGCCTTAATTCTGAATGGTTAACTCTTTGTCTGTAAGTGATCTATAAAGAAATTGCCAGTTGGAAGTTGTAGCTACTTCCCAGGTATAGTCCATTGGATCATTGCATTGTTTTCCTTTACTTTTCTTTCAGAGGAACTCTGTTGGATCTGTAAACAGCAATGCGGTGTTGAAGTTAATGGGTCGGGGCGGGGTGCGAGGTGTTGGCCCTCCAAGAGGGCCAGGACGTGGAGGTTTAAGAGGTAACACATGTTATAAGATAATAAAGGAACAACATCATATTAATCTTTAATATATTAATGTATTGTGTGGAAGACTGGTGATAGAGTATATATATGTTATTTGCTGGCTGGGAGGTCAGTATGGTGAAAAACTGTGACCGAGGTCTTGAAAATGCTGCCTGAGGCCGCAGGCCAAGGGCAGCATTTTCGAGCCCAAGGTCACAGTTTTTCACTATACGGACCGACCCTAAGCCGGCAAATAACATGTTTTATTTTCTCCCGCAGTAAATTGGTTTTACAGATTACAAATGGGTTTGTTTACTCAACTCTTGTCACTGAATCGGCTTCCGCGCTGTCTACTAACGATTTGTAAAAAATCTCAGCAACATGCGAGTAACTCAGATATAGTAGGCAAAGAGAGATGTATTAAAGAGCAGATGTTTTTTGAACTACTTTATGTTAGTTGCATTTATTTCACCAGTTAAGTTCTCCAAAATTGTTTTTGCGGTGNACAACATAATTACGAACTTAAAGTCCTCAAGAAATGCCGTGACAAAATCGAATGTTCAATCGTTGAAATGCTGTTGATTAAAAGCAAAAGACCAAAACTGAACACGGAAGCGGATTCCATTCGCGCGGAACCTTTTAGATGAATGTTTTCATGTAACGTTTGCTTATTTCATTTTCTCACATCCTACTCCTAGTACTATAAATATGCCTTGCCGTTATTTTTAATTTATTCATTCGACAATGATGACATGAAGTCGTCGAAACGTCATGTAACTTTACTTATGTTAATTTTCCTGCTTAAGTGTTTTTCGAAATCGTTTTTTAGAGGAACTTAATTTGCTCTAGGTTAAACTTAATATTCAAAAACCTTAATTTGCCTAGTCTGTCCACAGATGGGTTTTTTTATTTGCAAGCAACAGGAGCGATCACGAAGCAGGTAGAAAAAAAATTTAAATAGTTTGGATGGCTGATGTCAGGTAGTGAAAGTTCTTTCACATCTGGCAATACCTAGCCCAGTACTCTTGCATCTCTTCTTCTCAGAAGCTAACAATAGGCTATTGATATTCATGTCCTTAAGAAACAGCAAGAAGAAGCAAGAAGGAAACAGGAGGAAGACTTGAGAAGAAAACAGGAACAGCAGGAAGCTCTCCGGAAACAGGAACACCAACGGCAGCAGATGGAGCAACAGAAACAGAAAGAGGAACAAAAGAGGATGAACGAGTTACGACAACAGCAACAGCAGGCTCTGTTGCGACTTCAGCAACAGCAGCAGGAGCTGCTGAGAAAGAAAGAGATGCAACAGAAAGCTGAAATGCAGCAGCGAGAATTACAGCAGAAGTTACACCAGAAGAGACAGGAGAGTCAGGTAAGAACATTCAATTTAATTAATAACGTAATATATCAAGAGATCAAGAGCGGTATGGTTTCAATACCTGATGGGCTTGTGGTTAGCCTGCAAACATAGACAAGTTGCAGCTTTTGTTTCATATATTTTTTCGGAGCTTGAAACGAACTCCAGAAACTACATCATTCTGTGTTTGCAGGCTAGCTCTTGGGTTGTTGAGAAAGTTCTTCATATAATCAGCTTCTAATCTGCCGGAGTAATCCAAATCAGAAATGGTCATGTTTTTGTGAAAAAATTTACGGTTGGCCCATCAGTGAGGCTTCCACTAACAGAAAAGTGTGCACTTGTGTTTGTGTGCAGGCCAATTTTGGCTTAGTTGATTAAATTATTCCAACTGATGTTCAAATTATTCAAAATAGTACCACTAGAAATATATGGAAGAAAGTTAGGAGAGATCAAGGCTGTAATACTAACTTGGTTCCTGCAATGAAGCCATGTTTGGAAATAGTAGCTGTGCAGATCTAGTACTAAGACAAAATGCCAGTGTTGTACATCAGCCTGTGAAGAACTAATAACTCGACACTTTTTATAGGTGTCTGGTGGATCTCTGTGGGGTGCTCCTACTCCTGTATCAGGGACCATGTCAATTGCTCAGATTCAACAGCAAGAGGAAAGGGACAGACAGCAGCGAGAACTTAAATTACAGCAGCTCCAAGCTCAACAGCGCGAACAACAGGCACGGGGAGTGCCAAGCTGGGCAGAGAGGCCTGCTGTGGTGAACCAGCCTGTCAAGTCATTGCTGCAGATTCAACAGGAACAGGCACAACAACAGAATAAGAGACAACAGGGACCTGCGCTCTCTAGATCACAGGTGAGGAGGGAGAAACAGAAACTATGAACATTTAATGGCAATATTTAACCGGAAGCTGTGAATATTTAAAGGCAATATTTTTTTCTTGAAATAGGTATGAAGATCCTCTTGGGGAACCTAATAAATCTTATTGTATTCTGTTGTGAGCACTTAATTATTACTCCCACAAATTGCTCTCTCTCTCTCCAGTTGCGAGCACGTTATATTTTTTGTTCGCATTTTAGTTGACTGCAGTGAAACAAACGTACTGTGCCACAAACATACTGGGCCTAATGGTTAGCATGCTTAACGCAATATAGAGCAGTCCGGGTTTGAGCCCTGGCTGGGGTCCTTGTGTTTTGGGTAAGCCGGGCACTTTACTCTAACAGTGCCTCTCCATCCAGATGAATAAATGGGTACTGCCAAATTTAATGCCGAGGGTAGCCATGCAATACACTAGCATCCCATCCAGGGGAGAGTAGAAATACTCTTGGCTGCTTGATTCTACAGAAACCGGGATAAGCTGTGGTGATATGGACCACTGTGCCACATGGCACTTTTTCTCAATCTTTAATGAAGTATTTCGTCTTTTCCCTTTTGCTGTCCGCCGTTAGCCCAGTCACAATCCTCTGAGTTCCTCAGTCTGGGGAAATACTGGCCATCTTTCGACATCCTGGGGACCTGCTCCTAATTCTGCAAACATCTGGGCCACAGCGCCGTCTAAACCCTCACCGCAGCGTTATGATGACGACGACGATGACGATGACGACGATGATGAAAGCGATGACGACAGTAATGGAGATTCCTTCTGGGATGATGCTGTCAAGGCTGCCCGCAAGAGCCGGGAACAGCACCAGCCTCTGCCACAACGGCAGCAGCCAAAGCCGAGGTAAGTACATTTGAGAAAGAAAGAAACAGGTGTTGAAAATACTGATATTCATCAAAAAGGAATAATAAAATTTTGTCTGGATGTGGCACTATTATTCCTGGAAGTACTCACTAAAAAAATGAAAAATATATCTGTATACCAGATGAATTGAAGGCTGCTATTTCCCTTCTTTTTATAGCCACCTTCAAGCCAACAAGATGCCTGATAAACGAACAAACAGAGATGAGGTAAGCGGGAAACGCTAAACAATCACAGTGAATGACGGACGTTCAGTTTGCTCTCCTTGTTAGCGAGAATGGCCAGGTTACCGCTACATCAAGGCTTTTTATGTTAGTTAATTTTTACTGTTGTGGTTTTCGTTGTAGGAAAACTTACGGCGACTCTTTCAGAATCAATCAAGTGCTGACGAGTTTTCTCTGTGGTGTGACCAGGCTCTTCGCAGCTTAAATAATGCCTCAGGAGTAGACAGTGAGTTCCTGTAACCCTTCAAATTGTGTCATTGACGTATTGTCTAGTTCACCAAAATTTTCGCTTTTGTCTTATACTGTGGATGATTTCGTTCTAAGAGTATGGTATTTCTCGGCGTTAGCGTGTTTTCTTCCTTTACCTGCAAAATCGTAAGCGTTATATTAAATGGCAAAGCTATAAATTGCTTGTTCCGTGTAGACAAAGCATCGTTGTACTCGAACATTACCTCTTTTTATAGTTGTGTGTATTGATATCTCGTTTTCATAAAGTTTCTATGGTTGTAACAGTTGTATCATCAACGTTGGTTTTTTTTTTCCTGCTGTGAAAAACCTGACACTTATGTAGAGTTCTTTTCTATTCCAGTTCCAACGTTTTCAGCGTTTCTCAAAGATATCGAATCACCTTACGAGGTTAGTACAGCTCTATTCCACCAAAATCTGATGAAGCTCGTGTTTACTTAATCGGCTTTGTTTGTGGTTCATTGTGAAAAGTTGTCAGAAACTTAAGCATCATCTTTACCAGTCTTTCAATGTCCACTTTTTCTCCAGGTTTACGAATACGTCAAGTCTTATCTGGGAGACAATCGAGATACCAGAGAATTTGCTCGGGAATTTATCGAAAGACGAAAGAAACAGAGAGACAAAACTGCGGCTTCTCTTCCGAGCTTTCCTCAAGTAAGTATAGTGTGTTTTCTGGCCTAGCGTTTTCCTGATATAGTTAGATTTGTCTTTTGGGCGTTGTTTTTGTGACTTATCTTTACTACGGCCTAGGTCAGATCTCGAAACTGGCCCCAGCAGAAGCAGTAATCTTTTCAAGCTCAGGAAACCAGTATTTCTAGCGGAAAATGCGGGAACCGGGATGACAAACAAGTTAGACTGAAAGCGCGGGAAAACAGCATGACGGGTGGCAAGCGCGGGAAAATTCCCGATCAGTTTTGTTCTCGCGCGTGATTGGTGGAAATGACATCTTTTGTCTGATTGGTCAGGGTACTTGGAACAAATATGGAGCTTACCAAACAGTCGGATGGAGATGAAGTGCGTTTTCACAGATTTGTTATTTACGCGTAAAATGCTATCTCGCGTGGAAAGGAAAAGTATATTTACTGTTTTTGGCTTTAGTTCATCAGTTTTGTTCTTGATTCATCGCAGGCCAGCGTGTGGGGTGCTCCTGTTCCTCGAGGGCCATCTGCGGGAAGGCCAACAAGTGTGAATCAATCAGGTGCCTTCTTATCGGGGCCAGTCCAGGAGGACCCGCAAGACGCCATGAATAAAAAGAAGCGAAAGAAAAAGATGCAAAAAGTTGATCCAAGCATCCTGGGATTCAGTGTCAACGCAGCGGATCGTGTCAATATGGGAGAGATACAAACTGTCGAGGATTAACCGACACAAAGACTTGCTAAGAAATACAATGAAGGCGAGCGAGCGAGCGGGCGAGCCGCGTCCAGCAATTGTCCGAAGAGGAAAAAATGTTTTATATTTAGACAACACAAGGATTAGTGAATTTTAATAGCTTACCGTGAGGAACGGTGGAGAAATATGGCGACTGTACAAACTGTAAATGGCGAACAACAGCTTAAGCCTTAATATAGCTGAAAATATTTTCTTGGAGTAATTTCTTCTCTGAGCCAAAAAGAACTTTTGACTCTGCGTTGTTTCGCGACGTCCGAGAGCGTTTTTCTTTCCCGTCAGAACGCGCACGGCACGCTTTGCACGCCCTTACTCCCGCTAGGAAGCTTTGTGGGGTTTTGGTGGTAGATACTGAATGCACAGCCCTTTGTCAATAGTGCTCGGATTAGTGGAATTTTCTGCTTTTAATCGGCGCTCGCAGCTTTGCGAAAATTGCATGATTACGTAAGTCAGTGTCTTAAAAAGTTACTCAAAAGTAGCCCCCCCCCCATCATACAAAAAATCCCACCTCCATAAGTGCTGCTTCCCCTAACATGAACCCATGAGTCTATGAGATATATTCTAGAAGTGACGTTTGATTCTGAAGGTACGATACAATTTTTTTCCAACTATTTTACCTGGTTGACGAGCTAACAACTGAACTCCTCCAGAAATAAGCCAAAAAAATGCCTTTTCAACAGAAGCAGAGGGCTGAGCAGGACTTGTAATTTGAAAAGTTGACTGTATAGTCTTTGCCTCGTCTCTTGGCTACTCGGTTTGGGGCATTTTACACTTCGTTAAGTCATCGACGGGCTCATGATAACAAGTTTTAGCGGAGAACTGGGAAATTTCGGAACCAGGCCCTGCAGTGCTTCAGCTCGAAGACAATCAGAACAAAGGTGGACTGTTCGGTCATTGTGGTCTGGTAACTTCGGATTCCCGAGTTATGATAACCGGAATTACATATTAACTGTCGTTATTGGGCGAGACCTTTTGTTTGTTGACGGAAGTACGAGATAGTTCTACTTCATTCAAACTTCCTGTCCGTCTGTGGCTCCCACTTCCGAGTCCTTGTAGCCTCGGTTTCGAAACGAGTTCTGGTACGAACAGTTTGATTTGCATATTAAAGAAAAAGACTTCAAGAATAATTACCTCATTTCCACGAGAAAATTCTTAGTAAAAAGTTAGTCTTGAACAAGAACGAAGGCTTCGGCTCCAATTATTTATTAAACCCTGTTACTTCCGCGGTTCGGAAGTGCAAGCTGTACGCACATGGAGTCAAATGAACACCGTAACCACAGTTTCCGTTATGGCTGATCTGAAAATAAATTCTGCATGAATATTTATTAATTTTTTATAGAAGAAAATAGATCCTGAAATTACCCGTAAACGTGGTTTGGAAACATGATCGTTTCAGCTTGCGTGTGAGGGGATTTTCTTTTGTTTGATCTACAACATGAGGGAAGTTTAAAAATACTCTTTTCTCGGGACACTCGCTTTGTTTTTTTTTGAATTCGAGTTTTTATAAGAAAAGTTTTTTCAGTGTGGGACTGGATCAAATTAATAAACACAGAACTCTAAAAACATACGTAGTTTGCGTGTCGTTGTGAATTTGCATAAACAATATTAAACCGAAATCTCTCCTTAGGGAATTTATTCTGAAAACAAATTTTACGAACGGAAGTCTCGTATTGCTCCTCTCCTGTATTCATGAAAGAAATTTCAATCAAAAATCACCCAGTAAGAGATTTTGATTATTCGACAGATGGCCACACCAAAGTCAACTGGTCTTCCTTCAGCGATGACAAAAGCCGTTCAAAGACTTTTTGTCTTTTTTCAGCATGTAATAGTTACCCATGTACAAAGTTCTTCGCTTCAGTGTCTAAATTAAAATTGTTTCTCTATTGGCTCATATTTAAAGTTTTATGTTTATTACACGTCAAATTTCTTTGTCAAAGATGGAAAAAATTATTTTTAGGCAAATCTCGCGGGAATGTTTTTGCCCTCCGGTGAAACTTGAGCCATATGTCATCACGCAAACAAAATAAATAACATCACGTGACCAATAATTCCTAACACAAAGTCCGGCTTGAGTGCCGCGATGCGAAGATGGAAGCCGACGAAGCTTGAGGGTTCGTGATGCTGTATGCAAAGAGAATGGTTTTGAAGACCTATTGAACATCTGCAAGCGTTGGCGTCTATTTATGTTGATTTTAGGTTGACTTAAGCGGAGTTTCAGAACCAGGAAGGCAAGCAGTTCGCATCACATAAGCACCATGCAAGCGGAACATTCGCGAAAAGAAAGTGACGACTTCTCCAAACTCTTCCGTGGAACCGATAGCGAGAACTTAGGACTTAGTAGTGATAGTCTAACGGTGGGCCCAGCTTTAACAGAACCAACCTTGTCTTTTCACCAGCCGAAGTCAGGTTTCACGTCGTTTCGAGAGTTTTTCTGTCGCGGTACCGGTAGCGCAAGAATTCGAGTCGAAGCACAAAGACTGCCAGTCAATGGCCTCATGGAAGTCTATGTCCACCCTGTGGTATCTGTGGTGATTTTACTTGCTGCCATACTCATTCCTTTCGGACTTGGTTACTACGTTTTTCATCAGGATTACGTAGTCAGGGGTGAATATTTGGTTATAGACAAGTCGTTAGAATCTTTTGAGATTCCGGGGCACATCAGCTCGCAACGGGAGGATATGATTTCCGTTGCCTCGAAGCTCTCGAAGGAAGTTAAGGCAACTTCATTGGGAAGAGAGAAACGATCGCCACACAGAACGACGAGTAAATCAGGTCCTAATTATCAAAAGAAAGCTGCATGGACCTTGGAGCTTGTTTACTTGGCTATTGGAGACGACGACTTGAACATCTTCACAAAAGAGAGGCTCGAAAGTATTCATCAAATTGAGCAAAGTCTCATGAACCAAGAAGGTTTCACCGACTATTGTTGGAAATGGGAAGTGGCGCAGATAGATCCTTTTCTTAAAGATAACTGCACTCCTCCAATCTCCCTAGTAGACTTCTTTTTCCCTTCTGTCGCTCAAGAGATGCGGATATACGACGGTCGAGGTATGAATGACGGCGGTACGAGATATAACCTCACGGAAGCAAGTATTAAAGACAGTTTGCAGCTACTTCTCACTAAACCCTTCACCTACTGGTTTGTGGACGGTTCTTTTTCGAAAGATAACCAGAAAAGTCGATTCTTACGTGCTGAATTGAAGTTTGGCTACCCTTTGAAGTCTGGGGGTAGCAAACGTACTCAAACTAAAGCATTCAAAAGATATTTGGTGAAGTATGTCGAAGGGTTAAAGAAGTTGTCAACAAAGTGAGTATATTATGCAATCATACATGTTCTTCCGTACAACTATTTTCAATCCGCTCTTTTAGGCATTAATCGCAAAATCCCTTTGGTTGAGTACAAACAAAGGCTCTTGGCTTTTTATTTAGTTATTTTCAAGGTGCATGTTATAGAAAGCGACTCTTGAAACTCTCCATGTAACAATTTAAACTTGATGTCATCTTCGTCACGAGATTTTTGGAGAACATTTGGGCGGGCTTGTTGCAATTGAAACGATGTGGATTATTTTCGATCGAAAGTTAGGGAAGACCAAAATATTTTTATCCTCAAAACAAATTAAAATATAAAGTCTCTTGTTGTCGTCAGTAAAGATATTGTGAAAACTGCCTCGTCACGGGCCAAATCTTTGAAGCATGAAACTCCGCATTCTTAGCTTGTTTCCGTGCAATATTATTTAGTGTTTTTCCCAAAATTTGAGCAGATATACAGGTACAGGTGGCAAAACTGAATGTAGATGCCGCAAGGATTTATAATTCTGTGGCTACACACTGTTTTTGGCACCAAGTAAAACTTATTTGAATGTAAATTCTTGCAAATCGTCGTCAAGATCACTAAGGTTAGACAATTACGTTTCCATTCCACCAAACACAGGGATAATAAAAGCAAAACAGCAAAGACTTTGAAAGGACTAATTGTAGGTAAATATGCAAATTTTGACAGTTGCATCAGTGGTGATGCTTGACGGAAAACAAAAGATGAAAGCAGATGGGACATGGTTGTTGATCTTGTTTAGAGCTATAGAGCTTCAAGCATCACAGTCTTGTTGCAGATAACAACCAGTTTATAAACATACATGTACATCTAACTTATCATCTGTTCCTGCCAGGCTTTCTAGAGTGCTAAACTAGGAACTCTGTGAAAACATTTGGAAGTTTTAATCTCACAAAGTTTAGGGGCTATACAGAAGCATGTTTTGGAAGCAAATTGCACCTCTTAAGCACAAAAACATTTTCCTGAAGTTTATCAAAAAAAATGTTTTTTTGCTTCCTTGAATAGGGTATAAAGCAAGTTTTGCTTCTATTAAAGTTAAATGCGACTTTCTCATCTGGCTTGACTCAGGACTTTCTTGTTTCTGCAAAAGTGTCTTCTCTGATTTGGCTATTAGACTGTGTGACTCCAGTGACAGAGAAATCTCTGACTGTAACAAGCGGAAAATGACACTTCACAATTGAAGGGGTGAGTGCAAAACCATGCTAAGTGAAGATTTGGGTGAAAAAAAAATTTTTGCGAAAGGGCTTGAAATTTTGCATGTGGTCTTCAATGTAATAGAAAAACGCGGCCCTGTATTTTTGTCGCTGGTTTTTGCTTCGTTTTCGAGTTATAACGTATGCAAAAATACTTGGCTTTTCCTAGCCATGTCTTTAGGAGTTTATTTGTTGAACAGCAAACAGGCAGACTGTTTATAGTGTATGAAGTCAAAATCAAATCTCACAGCATATATAGCGCAGAAATCTGGGAACAGATTGTTTACATCGTTTATTGTGACGTGAACACAACATGTGAATCGATCGAGCGTCAAACGAAATACATCAAACGAAAAAGAGATGTGCCGCATTAGACCTCTGTCAACTAATATCTTAAGCATTGTTTTAAAGTACCTTGTATGCCTGCCTGGTGGTTGAGAGGCATCATAAA